AAAGTCAACCCTTTGGAAGACGCTAGCAAATTGGGGAGACTGCCTTAGATTCCCCTGAAAGGTAAGAAATCTAAGCACTCCAGTAAAAGCCTTTGAAGGCTGCGTTCAGAAGGGCCTGTGGTTTAATGCTTCTTGTTTTTAATTAGGAAAAACAGCCCTCACCCACTGCTGAAGCCAGTCTAGACGCCGTGACTCTCTTTCTTCAGGGGCTGCCCGGATTCTACCCTCTCGACATCCTTCCCTGTACAGTAGTTGGCATGCCACGATGGCACGTCGGCAGATGGGCTTGCTGGAAAGGCCTCGGGATAACAGGGACATCCTCCTCCACAGCTAAGGAACCTCCTCGCTCTCCAAAGCTGCCTTCCAACCGTCTGAATGTTCGCCTCTTGGTTATTAGGAGCAAAACACCAACTCATCCTCGTCAGCTATTCCTTTAATCCTTGGGAGATAAAAGTTCCAAGCGTGATGATGCCTCATTTTCTTTGGCAAGGCTTGGTCTGTAAGGAAAGGCACACAGCTCTATTTGGCCTCGGGCTTCCTCTGAAGAATCCCAAAGTTCTTTTTTAAATGGGAAATGTGCATTTGGACCTGGGTGTTGTACATGGAGAGGAAAAATACACAACCAAAGAGATTCTAGTCACAAACTGCCTTTTTCTGTCTCCCGTGAACTAAAAAATAAAAATAAAACTGATTTGAGTTCTCGGTAATGCACCCTGCGTGATTCACCTAACAATTCCTGCCTTTTCAGATAGACATCGCTTAACCAGCCCCTGGGAGCTGGCCAACTTTTTTTTGTGTCTTTCCAGATGATTAGCTTGGAAATATCCTGTAGTAAGCACTTGGTAAGTGGGATAAATTAAATGAAAGTGGTTTTTGAATTAAATAACTCCGTCAAAAATTCCAAAATGGGATGCTTCTGTTTTCTCATGGAGATGTTAAGCCTAGTTCAAACCCAAACTCAGCGCTTTGGGTTTATATACCTAAGGGAGTTGGGGTTTAATTATGATTTGGCTAAACCAAATTTAATAACTGCGTCTTTGCATGCCGTCTACCAAAAATGGGATTTGTTTTTTAAGGGCTGGAATTCCCTTTGCAGAGCTCCAGCGTATGTGCTTACTCTTAAAATACAGGTAGTCCTCGACTTAACGACCTTAATTGATGTTCACTAAGCGATTGGTCATAAGTCGAGGACTACATATCCTCGCATCCAGGAACTGCACTGCAGAATAAGTGGCTTTTTTTGTTGTTTGTTTCTGGGAAAGCATCTTTTTAAAATGGAAAATAATAGCAATAGCAATAGTAATAGCAGTTAGACTTATATACCGCTTCATAGGACTTTCAGCCCTCTCTAAGNCCGTTCCCGGAAGTTACTTACTTCCGGGTTCGGCGACCAACCGGTTCGCAGGGACCGCCGCGAACCGGTTGAAACCCACCCCTGGGGTTAGGCTTGGCAATTGGTCCTCATTTTATGAATTCTCTCTGCCAAGAGGTATAGATGGCCCCTACTCTAGTGGTGCTTTGAAAACAAGCCAAAGTATAATTGTTCCAGTAGCCACTTGGCCCTTTGAGTAGATTAACTGAATGGTGCACATAATGTGCTAGAGTTTCATTGATGATTTTTTAAAAATTACCTGGACTTGAGTTTTATAAATATATATTTTTTTATCTCTTTGCTATGTTTTATCCTAATCAAAATCCATTTGGATTGGAACAAGTTATACTTGTTCCAAGTATACACAACAAGTTATATTTCACAAATAAATGAATATACCATTCACTTTTTTGTCTACATGTATGATACATGTCTGAAATAACAGAGGGAAGCTAATCAAGGAGAGAAGCAACCTAGAATTAAGGAAACACTCCCTAACAGTGAGGACAATTAACCAGTGGAACAGAAGTTGCTTTCAGAACTTGAGGGCGCCCCATCACTGGAGGTCTACGGAGATTCTCATTCATCCAGGTCATGCTGTCCCAAAGACACTTTTTTCAGTAGGCAAAGGCCAGTTGCCAAAGTCTTTGGTTCATCACTAGAGGTTTTTAAGGCAGTCACTTGTCTGAAATAGTACAGGGTCTTCTACTTGGACTAAGAAGACTTCCAAGGTCCCTTCCAGCTCTATTCTTTGTCTTCTCATCTTTTGAGGGAAATGGATGCTTTATATTCAGTGTTAACACCCTTTATAATAATATCGCTAACAGGTTAGCAGAAGGCAAGAAGTTCATTGTCTAATTCAGTGGTAGTCAACCTGGTCCCTACTAGTCGGCGTTCCAGCTTTCATGCTGGGTGGTAGGGGTTTGCTGTAACTCTGCTTTATAAATTTTATAAAGTAAAGTTACTTCCCTACTTTATAAATCACTACTACTGTGGAACTGGTGGGCGGTTAGAAAATTTTACTACTAACAGAGCAGTGGTGGGTTTCAAAAATTGTTCAAACCTACTCTGTGGGTGTGGCCTCCTTTGTGGGAGTGGCTTGCTGCCCAT